CCCCGCTATGGTTGCTTGTCGGGAACAGCGCATCTTCTATAGATGCCATAGAGTCGTTGCGATCTCTCGTCTTCGACGACGGTTCAGCTGACTTGCTGATCGCTTGGTAGTAGGATAGTTCGGGGAGTCGAGCTTTGCGAAGCAAGTCCGCCATCGCAAGTTCCATTGCTGCCTTCCATCTTTGCGTGATACACAGAATTGATCAGCGATTTGATGTGATTCAAAGCCGTAGGGGATGCAGGAGGGATCAAATACTCTGTCTCATCGTCTAGCAATGTTTGAAGACTTTTGTTGACCACACATTCTAATCCCATCCGGCGACATCGATGACATGCCGTTTCCCCCTCATTCATGTCACATCGCACCTTGTGCCGCTTGCACTCTGTGCAAGCGCGTATTCGCCGCGAGATCTTGGGAACATGCTTTGGACTCTGCCGTGCATCGTGTTCGGGGGTGCGGTGGGCTGCTATATCCTGAGGGGAGATAGCTGACGGACTATCGCCATTGGCCTCGAAAAGGTAACGACTTCGCTTCATGGCGGCAATGGATTCATCGTCTTCAAAACAATCAATTAAATGAAAAACGCGCAATCAAGTGTCAAGTGAGCATATGGCTGGTTGCGATGCGAATGGATTCACAGCCACTACTGCGATAAGATTCAAGGCGGAGAAGGGAAGAGGGGCTTGCCGCTTGGCATGGCAGCTTTGGATCGGCAATAAGTACGGGGGGTTAGCGGCGTACGGACGAAGTACGATAAGTACGGAGAGAGAGGAGGGGAGGGGTTCCTGGAGGTTGTGTGGTTTGCAGGAGTTGTACAGCAGCAGTGGCAGCAGCAGTGGCAGCAGCAACAATAATGACAGGCAAGTGTCAGTCTAGCACGGGGCACAGCACAAGTCAATCAACCACTGCTCATTGATATTTTATTCCGAGGCCTAGTAACTTACCTCCGTAGGCTAGTCTACTAATAGTCTAGTAGTCTAGGCCGTGGAGCCCGGCTTATGTAAGAGAACTCCGGGGACGGGTAATTGCCCGAGTCTCCGCCCGAGTCCCAATTAGGTCTAATTATGACGCACGGCGCGTTCAACCTCTCCCAGACCGCGTTTTTTTGTCGCGGCGGCCCGCAAGAACTGCCCTCCTTCTGCTTCATCCCATTTATTCACCTCCCTGCTCGCCAGGCAAAGCTCGTCGCATAACATATCCATAGTCTCTTCCGAGTATACCCAGATCCGGTTCATTCAACATGGGTATTAAAAGTGAGTCACGCTAATTACCACCTTGCCAATTCCGAATCGACAACTGTACACCCTCATGAGTTCAGCAATGCTAATCTCCGCCACCATTAGACCTCTTTTCGGTAATCTCGGAAGAAGCCCCTGATGCCGTAAAGACGGGAGAGATCAAAAACCACTTCGGCCGCAAGGTCGCTATAGTATGTCCAGTCCCCAATTGAATCCCTGCTTTTGTTAGTTAGCTAGCTGCATCTGTGCTTGTAAGCAGGGCTAACCACTATCTTATGTCGCAGGATGCGTATGCTATCCCTAGATCCGGCTCGGTCTTCAATCTCCTTCGTGACTAATGCCAGTTCAGGTCCATGAGTATCTACAGCTTCCTCATCGCTGTCCGCTCCGACGGTCAGCAGCTCATGAATGAGACCGGAGAGACCACATCACACCTGATGGGAATGTTCTATCGCACGCTAAGAATGGTCGATAATGGCATCAAACCTCTATACGTCTTTGATGGCGCTCCGCCAAAGCTCAAATCGGGAGAATTGGCCAAACGTTTTGCCCGGAGAGGCGAGGCGACGGAAGCGCACGAGGAGGCCAAGGAGACGGGTACTGCAGAGGACGTGGAGAAATTTTCTCGTCGCACAGTACGAGTCACCAGGGAACACAATGCAGAGTGCAAGAAGCTTCTGAAGTTGATGGGCATCCCGTACATTGACGCCCCGACGGAGGCCGAGGCACAATGCGCGGTGCTTGCGCGTGCTGGCAAGGTCTATGCTGCCGCTTCGGAAGATATGGACACGCTGTGCTTCGAAACACCCATTCTTCTGCGTCACTTGACATTCAGTGAGCAGAGAAAGGAGCCTATTCAGGAAATTCACCTAAGCCGTGCGCTGGAGGGACTTGGCATGGATCGCAAGCAGGTATATCTCCCACACAAACCTCCATGATCATTCTGCACTTGCTTACCCTTCCACCAGTTCATCGACCTCTGTATCCTACTCGGCTGCGACTACCTGGAACCCATCCCTAAGGTGGGTCCGAACACGGCACTGAAATTGATTCGGGAGCACGGGACTCTTGAGAAGGTGGTTGAGTTCATCCAGAGCGACCCCAAGAAGAAATATGTCATTCCCGATGATTGGCCGTATCAGGATGCCAGAGAGCTTTTCCTCAATCCCGACGTACGGGATTCCAACCACCCCGACTGCGACTTCAAGTGGGAAGCGCCCGACGTGGAGGCCCTTGTGAAATACCTGGTTGAAGACAAAGGATTCAATGAGGACCGGGTCCGCAGCGGTGCTGCCCGCCTGCAGAAGAATCTCAAAACCGCCCAGCAGTCCCGTCTGGAGGGATTCTTCAAACCAGTAGCCCGAACGGATGCGGAGAAGGCCAATCTGAAGCGCAAGCATGATGAAAAGATTCAGGAACAGAAGAAGCGCAAGAAGGATGAGGCTAAAGCTAAAAAGGAGGCCAAGGCCAGACCCCGTGGCGCTGGCTGATTGATGGACTACCCAGTATGAAATCTAATTCGAGAGACCCGAGGTTGGGCGGGAAGGAGGGAAAATGCGAAGGCACTCATTGAGTTCCCATGTGATTTACACAATCAAGAGGAAACCTGATATATCGCGTCTCTGGGAGAGTGCCTTGATTTGAAGCTTGGCGGCGTTTTAAGGCTCTGGTTATCGCAAACATGGCAAGGCGTTTATATCGGTGGGGATGCGCTAGCATAGCATTATTACTTATTGATGATGAATTTACCTTGTTCGCTACGGGTGGTCGCATAGTACGTATATACACGGTATGGAGTATAATGTAATGACCTCGGATGCTTGGGACAGGTCTCACACCTGCATCGACTAATGGGGTTCAACCCCGCCGTAGGAGGTAAGTAAGCCAGATGGAATAGCAGTACCTACCTTATTGCACCGGGGAGCTGTCAGACTCGGCACAGCCATCGTAAATCGAGCTGGATGCTCGTCCGTGAGGCCAGTCGTGAGCTTGTAACAATCAAGCTGGTTTGCTTTGTTCTCCGCGATGCGCAGGTGGTATGATGACAATTCCCCGGCAATGGTGGGGTCACGCGATCCCTGATCTTCTAGGCATGTAATTTGAGAGAGTGATGGGTATGGAATCGACAGGACTATACCGCTTGATTTGTTTATTGGCTTGATATAGTCAATAACGAATTGCTCATCTTTCGGCATGTAATTTCCAAGAGGCTCGTTGGTGATGCCCTCACCCAGGATGTCCATCAGAGAATATATATCTCATCCGTGCGAGTTATTCGGACCGGTCCGGTCATTCGCACAACTCACTGCCTTGCTCTACTGTACATGCAAGAAGTGATGAACAAGAAGACGAAAGAGAAAGAGGAGTCTCCAGAACTTCACTTCGTGCATAGATCATGAGATAGCAGGGGAAAATCTACTGTTGGCCGAACCGCTCCATGTCTTGATGTACAGTAAGGTAGTCGACACCACAGCCTACACGAAGTGATAATACTTTCCCTTGACATCATGGCAGCGATGATAGAACACAGTGAAATGAGAGTCAATTACACATTTGGTATAACCCTTCAAGTATGAGAGTCTCGCTCCGATCACCGCTCGTAGGGTATGTATAACTAGGTACCCATCGTGGCGCTCACCCCATAATCCTCAATCGATTTACAACAAGACACAGCAAATCCCCCCTCACAGTCACACCCCATTCATATACCACATATCTGAAGAATTCGGTTCATTCAACCGGGGATGAACCAAATAAGCCCCACCGACAGCTCAATTCCAGCACGAGCGCCTAACCACCAACTGTACGGATGGGGAACCACGGATGCAAGACGATCGCTCGTCGGATCCCAAAGACAAAGCCTTGCACCAATAGGTCAATCTCCCAGGACCTCGACTATGACCTACCCTTTTCGAGTTCTTCTCACAATTGATTCGAGGGAAACTGCCCAGGACAAGAAAAAGGAGAAAGGGAAAAAAGGAAGGGGGGGGGTGCTGTGGGAGGAGGAAGAGAAGGTTGGGAGTGCATAACATCATCTCCTCCCCCTCGTGACCTTCCCAAGTCTCCTCCGCACGAGGAAATCGAGTGGAACAATGAACCTTCCACGCGCTCCCTATACACCGTTTCAAAGCCACTGGATCCAGCTCAATGGATGCAAGAGATGCAAGGGGCCGACCGATAACTGCAGTTGGTCGGACTGTGAGCATCATAGCTGCCATCTAGCTCCATGAGCTTGATTGAACTGCAGAGGAAAGGTTGGGGTGACACCGATGGGCATCATCGGGAGTCGCAGGGAGATCCCCACACGTCACCCACCATCGACTAGAAGAATTTTGGAAATACTACGTATACTCACTAATTGGATAGACCTAGAGGAGATAGAGTGTACAATAGTTTTCTGAATGATGGATGGTAGGTTGGAATGCGACGGGGTGGTGGAAATCAGGTTGTAAGATCGAAAGGTGGGAAAAGCAACACAGCATCGCGGCCGGCTGAGATCAAGAGTTTTTGCTGATAACGGCGAATTTATCCCTTCGGGAAAGATTTTAAACCACCTCAGGCGGTAGGAGAGCCGTCGAGGGTGCATATCCGCTAATTTTGAAGGCCAAAGAAGGTAGGTGAAGGGGGAAGATAGAGGGGGCAAAAGAACGCGTCAAGGTTGACAGCAGTCGGATCATGCGCGTGAAAAGAGAGAGAAATCGCAGGTTGAGAGGGAATGCTGATTACTCCAACCCTAGAACGCAGCTCTTGATCTTTTTACTGATCAAACACATCTACTTTACCATAAGCAAAACTACCAAAATATATTAGATGAAGATTTTAAAAAAAAGAAAAGAGAAAAAGAAAATCATCATCAAAATCCATAGAGAGTGAAAAAAAAAAATCAAATTAGCAAAAAGAGAAATACTTTTGACGTGTTGTGCTCGTCTCGTCTCGTTTCTGAGAGCAGAGCAGAGCAGACAGACAGAGGGTGATCCTGTGTCAACACCCGCTGCCCTATAAAGCGCGGATGCCCCGCGGCCCTTCCACCCCTTCCCTCGTCGACTGCTTTTCTTCTCTTCTGCCACAATTCTCCCCATCTCCCACCCCCCTGCTTGAACCTGACGTTTGTCGAGACATCTCCTGTGTCTATTAAACATCTTTCATCATCTATCTGATTCCACTTTCATCAACGTCTTCCTTTTCTCCTAACCAAAATGCCTCCCAAGAAAGCTACCTCCACCGGCGCGACCAAGAAGTCCGGCTCGAGCCACGCCTCTTACCGTGGTATGTTTTGACTGATCTTTCTCCACCACCACCTCGCGCTATCTTAATTCTAGCTTCATTTTTGTCGCGAATGACTGCTGATTCGATTAATATAGATATGATCAAGGATGCTATCCTGAATGTGAGTTGATCACGTTGTTCCCGGTGCGCTGTGGGATCACGGGCGCTGGGTGGGAACTTCGCCGACCGTGACACGTCGTCACGGTGCTTAATTGTTCCCAACGCCCCATCAGGCACCGTCTTGTTCCATCCTAGCTGGATCGCTAACATCTATCTAAACAGCTCAAAGAGCGTAACGGTAGCAGGTAAGCTAACTCGTGTTTCCCTGATCACCGCCAGACGCAGGGTCCCGCCCGTCCAGCGACGTGGCAACCCGACACAGCGTCTCTGTCACGATTGAAGCTAACCCGCTCCTCTCCTCTGCCCTGTAGCCGCCAGTCCATCAAGAAATATGTTCTGGCCAACAACAAGATTGCTCCTGCTTCGCAGGCTGCTTTCGACAGCCAGTTCAACAAGGCCATCAAGGCCGGTGTTGAGAAGGGCGAATTCACTCAACCCAAGGGTAAGTCCACCATTTAGTCGCGCGCCTCACTTGCAACCCTCGCCTCGCCAACGGTGAAGCTTGCATCTACGCTTGCTCTGCACGCGTCTTTGTTTATCGCTCCGACACGCCTGCTGACGCGTCTTATCCCCAGGCCCCTCTGGTCCCGTGAAGCTTGCCAAGAAGGAAGCTGCCCCTAAGCCGGCTAAGGTGAGTGACCATCGCATCCTCCCAACTGACCCACATGACTGACTCCATGACAGAAGGCTTCTGCTAAGACTACTACTAAGAAGACTACCGCCAAGAAGAGCGAGAAGGCCGAGAAGTCTGACAAGACCGAGAAGACTGAGAAGGCCGAGAAGCCCAAGTCTACCACCAAGAAGGCCACTGGCACTACCACCACCAAGAAGTCGGTTGGCAGACCTAAGGCCAACACTGCCAAGCCTCGCAAGGCCTCGACCACTGTAAGTAATGCTGTGTTTGCCCCCCCCTTGTTCTCCGCGCTGGATGCTGATTTCCACGCAGGCCCCGGCCGTTGTCGATCAACCTAAGGTCACCAGCACTACCAAGTCTGGACGCGTGACCAAGACAACGGCCAAGCCTGCTGCGAAGAGCAAGAAGTCTACTACTACTGCGAAGAAGGAGAAGGCTGCCCCCGCCGCTGCCGCCGCCTCTGCCTAAGGGAATTTCTTTGCAATCGTTTTGAGCGACCAGTTACCTTTGATCTTTTGGCCCGTTTCTCTGTTTGCGATGTGTCCTCGGGGTTATATCTTTTGGGTTGTGTCCCCTTCCTTCGTTTGTAATTTTTTCTCTCTCGGCCACCAATCTCCTTGAAGGATGGGATGATTGTATCTGGGATATGCTGTGGACTGTTTACTCGGTCGTTTCTTTTCTGTTGGTAGGGTCGGCGTCTTGCGGTGGATTTTGCAACGGGATATGTTATTCAATTGCGTGCTATGCTTTGTACGCCAGTCTAAGGACGGGCGTTATACGCTTTGGAATGAAACCACTTGTTTAGTTCAACCAGAAACCGTTGTAGTGATTGAAACGGTCGGGCTAGGAATGGGTATGCGATGCCCAAGCCACCATCCAGGGGACATGGACCTAGCCCCGCGATCAAGTCATTCAAGGATACGATCCACCACCAAGCAATGCCAGTGCTTATTGGCATTGGCAAAGAAGACTGTCTACCACGCGGAAGGAATGATCTAAGCTTAAATTTTGTGCATATCCACGGGCCCGGGGGGTTGGATGTTCCATCCGACACCCAGATCAACTGGTGGAGTCTTCTTGTGCTCTTACTGGGCTCGGCTGAGGAAGTATGGGCACAACAGTCCAATACGCAATTTACCACGAGGTATGGTCCATATCCTAGCGCGTACGGATGGTGTGTTTTGCTAAACTTTGCACCCAAATTCACCACAAATAGGAATTACTTTTCAAGACTGGGAGGATGTGGGATTATCCGCTTAGTCATTCAATTTTTGGGTCAATTAATCTGGTTTTAGTTTTGAACTCGAAAGTCATAATTAGTACTTAAACTTTTTCTTTGCATTTTGTGCTACATTTGAGACATTTAATGTGTATGTACGGAGTACAGTATATATACCAGTAGGGCTCGAGGGGTCTAGAAATGCAAAAGGAGCTTGAGCCAGCAAACAAAACTTTTCCCGTCCCGTCGGCTAACGGGCTTATCTGCGCCCGATGACTTGCTCGGCTACGGTATGTACAGTACGAGTCCGACAGCTAGCTATGAGTAGTAGTTAGAGTTATAAGGTTCTTATTCTTTTGACTGGCAGGCATTCGGGAAGGCCAGCCCTGTTCGCTTAAGGTTTTTTTTTCTGACTATACCTGTTTGTAGAACCATTGCGTCAGGGTCGATTGGACCCTCTCAGAGAAGGAGGGAGGAGGAGGAGGGAGAGGAGGGGGATGAGGGGAAGAGATCATTGGGGAGGCGTTTCGGAATGGGAGTGACGTTGGCTTTATCATGGACATTTTGTCGATCATTCGTGCATGCATCAGGAGTTCTACATAGCAAAAATACAATGAGTTCTGCCTTCCTCAATGCCGGATGACGGGAGAGGAGGTTCCGAACCTGACACTGTTTGGTAGCAGGTTGCATTACCTCCCTTCCACAAAGCTTCAGGTAGATTGGTGCGGAGTAACTGAGACTGTAATCTTCTAGATTTGCATTGTTGGTCTGTGTTGGAGAATCCTGGGCAGGGCCGAGGTGCCAGATACTCTACTACTCTTACTGGATTGAACCCCTTTTGAGACGGTTGGTGTATTAAGTAGTGCTGGCAGAAGATGAAGAGAATAGGCTGCCACAATTCGAGTCCTTGGCTGCGTCGAGGGTCAATCAGGGGCTCCGGGGGTAGGGGAGCTTTTATAGATACGATGGTATGCATTGGGGCCCTTTCTTCAGGTACGGATTGCCAGTCCATGGGTACATTCGACTCTCAACTGTCATCGCTGCTGGGTTTGATGGAGGAGAGATCCGTGAGTAAGGGTATGTGTATCTCAGATGTATATCATGGGTGCAATAGGGCAACGAATGAGTGGAGCCGGGCATTGGGAACTTCCATCCTGACGATTAATGATGATGCATGCTGTCGGAGATCAGGTTGCATATAATACAGCCATGTTTTGTTCCGTGTACTCGGTAGATTCAATTGCTGGGCTGCCTTTATGACAGAAAAGTGTACTGTGCTGTATTGTACTATACTCTGTTCGAAGAGCATGTTGCATGTAGCACGATCATGTCATGGATTTTATAGATTGCACCTGCACATTGACTAGAGTGTTGATTGAAAGTCTCGAGGAGAACGAGCGACTGAGAGAATGCAAAGGTGACGTTGATGTCTTGCAGGGAGTGCCAAGGATCCCCTCTTCTTTCTCGGGCTGGCAACAAACAATTCCTGCCTGATCGATGAAAAAGAACAAGTAGAACTTACTTGGCATAGCAGAAGGAGCTCTGATGTTGCACTTAGTACAGTGCTGCACATAGAGTCCAGCATCTGGTTTCATACATCTACTTCTATCCCCGGAGCTGCAGGTGTGTACATACTCCGTAGTACATACAGTATGTAAATCATGGTCAATCTTCGATTCCATCGCGTAACTTATCGGAAGTTGGTACCTGCCGCGTAATACTGGGTAATGACGGCGGTCCAGCCCTGGTGGAGCTTGCCCACTTTTTTCCTTTCCCCTGCTTTTCAATTCTCTTCTGGACAACTTAGACTAGAATCATTAACTTCTGTAATTATAGCAACAAACCAGTTCGAATCCAGACACTGCCGAATTGTCCCCAATTGCGGTGTTACAGAAAGGGGGAAATACTCTTCTGTCTGTCTATCTATCCTTTCGGTCTGTTCGTTCTGCTACATTTTCCACCATCATCTCTCCAAACACTACTTCGTACCTACTCCGTACCTACTCCGTACTACGTGTAATCTCACCATCACTGCCTTGATCAGGAACCATACCATACAGGTTCAGCTCTCCACGTTTTGGTGGCAGTTCCACTTGAATTACGAGTCCGTTTCGCCCCAAGAATACTCACTCAGTCACTGTTCGTTCGCTCTTCCACTCCTCCTCTTCCTCTTCTTCCTCTTCTCCCTTTCTCTCTCTCTCTCTCTCCCCCTCCCTCCTCTCTCGGTCTTCATTCTCTCCTGCTCTAATCACCCATTCGACAATCCCGACTACGCTCCCTCCCTTCTACCTTCCCCACCCCCTCCTCCATTTCCCCTGCATTCTAGTTATCTCTCCTTTAGCTTTGAATTCTGTTCGTTGTCGTCACTCTGCCTGCATTTGCAACTGATACCCCCGTCCCGCCCTCGTCTTGCCCGCCCTTCTACCCGTTTCCCTCGCCGCGGATTCCACCATTCGTCTCAGCGCTTTCTCAAATCACTTTCTCTGCCGACCTCAACCTACTTCCGTCTGTCGCCTCAGGACACGCAAACTTCAAAGAACGTGTTTGTTCTTGACTTCGTTCCCGGTCCTCCAAATTTAGTGGTTCACCTGAACATGCCTATCAGCCGCTGAAGTACTTTCCGCCGGCTGGCCCCCAGCTCGATCTCAGGAACCGTGTTTTTTGCATATCGACAACCGCCATTGATTGATTTGTCCTCTCTCAATCAGCCCCTCTCCACCTCTAGTTGACTCCTCCCCTTTCGTCGCTCGACCAAAAAGGCTCTTACTCAACAGTCGACGCATTACTCGCAAACGTCGACTCCTCTCCCCCCCCTTGTCCTTATCTCCGCCTCTCCCCCGGGAGTTCGACCAACTGATCATGCCATCGTTTTCCAACGACGTCGCCGCCTACTCAACAGCTACCGTCACGGCTACACACCCTCGGCCATTCGACCCATCGCAAGGCAAGCCCAACGAGAAGAACTCGGTGGGGAATACGTTTCTTTGGACAAATTGGCCCAATGGCGACGCTAATCATCTGGAAACCCCCTCGAACGATCGCCAACTCACAAACGGTAGCGCCTTGGCTTTAAATGGTCCGCGATCCAGCGCCAGCTCCTATACCCGGGAATTG